CCCCAAAACCCCAAAACCCCAAAACCCCTGTTATACAGCAAATAATTGAACTAATTCTTCAAACATTACAAAGATTACTTATCATACTCTGTGATCTTTAACTTGACAACTTCTTGCTGAGGTCATGCTTCTACTATTAAATATCAAGAATGACCAGAAATCCTCGTTAACCAATGAATAAGCATCTCAATGGCAACTTAATTATGGATATCAGTTCACTGACCGAAGGTGCAGCAGCCCAAGTGCAAAGAACCTGTTTTCCACTTACAAAGTAAGAACAAGTTTATTTAAAATCAGGAGATTGATCAAAAACGTAAGAGGTTTGATTCTCGAGGAAGTATAAACAAGTTAAAGTTGATGAAACTTTCCGCAAAGCCCAAATCTAGCCTCTACCACCAGCAAAATCCTCCTCAGAATTATGGCAAACTCATTACAAGTAGTGTATTTTCAAAGAAGGACACTCCAGGGAGTTGTCAGATGCAGACTTTTAGCAGTTCATTCATGCTAAACCAGATTATGCCTCTTCAATCGGGTGAAACCTAAAAGACTTGAGGCCTGATCAGGATTAAACTTATTGGAACAGTAAAATCAGACCTAATTTCTCCTAAGGTCATTAAATTTTTGTTTAATTTTATTTTTGGAATACTAAAACAAATTTGTGTTTACTAATTATAAGCCACCAAGACTGGGCTCAAGGAATGTACCATTAAAATTAGAATTCTCAATGAATTTCTGCGAAAAAGGATATTGAGAATAAGTATTTAGCCGAAATTTAAAATGGTCGAAGCTATAGGAGAGCTGAGCGACTTTTCTCACACAAATTTTCGTTCAGAACGATCTTCGTCTGTACTTTGAAGCAGGAATATTATGTTATCTTAATCTTTATAAATGGTAAGTTAGGGATGGCATTAAGCTAAATAAATTTTAGAAATCTAATTAATTAAATTATTAGAACTCGCTCTTATCTAACAGGAAATATAAATTGCTCTTTAACAAGCAAAATCAGTTCAAATAATTTACCTGACCACTGGGGTTTTGGGGTTTTGGGGTTTTGGGG